ACTGTCAGTAACTGATTGTCTAACTTATATAGCTAAGTCAAAATCTGATTATCTAGAATATTTAACGTCAACTGAATCGAAACAATTCTTTGATAAATATTGTAGCAATAAAAGAAGAATGTTATTTCATATTTTCTGGAATGATATCAATAACGACGAGAACGAGATCATTAACAAAGATAACTGGCCACTTCTACTGATTATACGTTCATATTTATATACACAAAATTTAAACTGTTCAAAAATGTACATCTGGTCAATATCTAACAGTAGTAGTATCATCAGCAGCAATCATCCTGATCTATTAAGAAAATATTCAAAAAACTTAATTATCAAGCAAGTAAATATGAACAATGAAATTGAAAAATTAAATAAGAAATTACATTTACAATTGTCCATTAAATTTGTTATCAAAAGTAAAAAAATGAGTGCGTATAGTGATGTATTTAGATTTGTGATTCTATTTAATTATGGTGGTATTTATTTGGATACAGATTTTATTTTATTAAGAGATTTTCAACCGTTTTATCCTTATCAATTTGCATATAAGTGGACATTTTTAAATAAATATAATACAGCTATTTTGAAATTAAATAAACATTCAATCATAAATAAACAAATACATCAAGATGTGGATAAACAAATTATAGATGATACAAACAATGAATATTCATTTCGTAAATTAATACGTCAGTTAACACAATTAGGTGAAATTGATAGTTATTATCATCCACGAGCACTGAGCAGTACACAAAACACTGATCTGTTACGTTTACCAACAGTATTTTTTGATCCATTATGGTTAGTTGTTGACGGTGTTGATAAAAAAGCACAAGTTGAATGGCAAGTAGATCAATATGGTTTCGACGAAGTATTTTATGGAAATAGTTTCCTTAGTCAAAATATGTTTATATTCAATGGAGCATTTGCCTATCATTGGCATAATCGATTTGACATGAAACCAGAAAATGGATCATTTCTCCAAAAATGGATCGATTTATTAAATGTAAAAATCGGATAAACATAATAAACAAACTGTTGCTGTCATTCGCACGGAATCGGAACCTTCCTGCACCATGAGTCTCTGATTTTTGGAACGTAATGCTTTAAAAGTTGGAAAGATATTGATACATGAAACATTCTCCAATCGGAGTTTTCTCTGATGACTGCTTACGTAGACGCATCGCTCCGAGAGATTTTTAGTAAGTGGAGCATTCCGCCCCAAGAGCTGTCTCTGGATGTGCACACGCTAGTATGTGTTTAAGCGAAGAATTTTTTATCAGCGGGTACGGGTTGCGAGAAAAGAATGTTATATACAAAGAGCGTACTGCCAGGATTTCTATCTCATTCGTGTTACTGTAGTAACAACATAAATATTCAATGCGAGAACGAAGAAAAGGGAATTCTTGTCGTGATAGAGAAGAAAAATGAAAAAAAAAGAGAAGAAAAATCCTGTCAAACATCTTCCAATGTTTGACAGGATTTTTCTTCTCTTCCATATAAGTTTTTTATAAATACTTAAATTTACAATAGTGAGCTAGTTCATCTTTTTCCATATCAAAAAGAAAAGAAAATAGATAATTAAAATTTAGTTATCGTTAGTTTGTTCTGTGCCAAATATGTGAAAATTAATGTCTGACGAAGCTGTCGTCGACAATGAAATGTCACTATTGTAAATTTAAGTAATTATAAAAAGTTTATAAAGAAGAGAAGAAAACTTCATGTCTAACTTGTCAAACACCTTTCACGACAAGAATTCAGAAAGCTCTATGGAGAGAGAACCTATGCCATCGCTAAAAATTTAGAAAAATGATGTCTAACGGTAACATCATCCCAAATGGAATGAAGTTGAAGAACTCTATAAAATAAAACAAAAATCAAGAACTATTGAAACAAACTGTGTACAAAATTAGAGATAACATCCTACCGATCAACTAAACCAAAGACAATTAAAATTTATAATTGTGGAAGTTAAAATTCAAGTCTTAATATTAAACTGGTATCTAGAAACAATGGAAGCATCAAGGCGACACGAAGAAGACTTGAAATGGATGAATAAAGACGACAGAAAGTTTAAAAGGTAATTTGCTGGAGAAATATTTGAATAAATTAGAAAAACTAAAATAGAAACAAAATGAAACGAATCAATCAACAACGCTAACCAGAACGAAGATGAATACACAAAATAAATATGATACGACAAACGTAGTTAATATGTCAAGTATGCAGTTGAGCCCAAAACATTCAGAAGTCGTATCTAAAAGATTGAAATTTGTTCGCCTAGATCAATAAAGACAATGAGTAACATTGTACTTAGGGCATACCAAAAGTAGTGGCAGTGGTATTTTTATCCCTTATAGAAAGGTTAAAGAAACTTTCTTTTTATATAGTCTGATAGAGAAAAGAATGTTCTATTTTTCTATGCTAT